ATAGATCCTATGCAAATGATTTGCTCATTTGTATTGCCAAAGCTGTTGGAATAGCAAATGAGCAATCACAACTGAAGAAAGAATTTGAAGAATTCAAGAGAGGAACTGCAAGTAGTGAACAAGGGAAGAACCTGGCTGAGACATTACGGATGGAAGAGATCATTCTATTACTAGGCAAGGCTGATTTGCTTACAACTGCAGAAGAAAAACAGACAAATTATTTGACTAAAAGAAACTCTTTGGGTAGGCAACCATTAGAACCTTTGCAATCGTTTTATTGTCCGATTACTGGAGATGTCATGGAAGATCCGGTGGAGACTTCTTCCGGGCAGATATTTGAAAGGGCAGCGATTGAGAAGTGGTTAGCAGATGGCAATAAGCTGTGCCCCTTGACCAAAAATCCCTTGAAAAGATCAGATCTCAGGTCCAATAAAACGCTGCGTCAGTCAATTGAAGAATGGAAAAACAGAAATATCATGGTCACGATTGCTTCCCTAAAACAGAAAATTCAGGCAAACGATGAGGAAGAAGTGCTTCAATCCTTGCAGAAGTTGCTGGAGTTTTGTGTAAGGAGTGAGCTGCAGAGAGAATGGATAGTGATGGAAAATTACATTCCAGTAACTATAGATCTTCTATCTGCAAATAATACTGAAATAAGAAAGTCTGCTTTAATGATACTTTACGCCCTCTCAAAGGATAGTGAAGAAGGCAAGGTATAATTAGTGTACATTTCACAATTATATGATCCAAATTCTACTCCAGCCAAGAATTGCACATACATCAGTAGCAGTGGTCACGCAACTGGTCCGCTTATGTGTGGATTTTTTCAAAATTTACTTATCTCTCACACAATTCCCACAAACAAATAATGTTATCAAATGGATACCACCTCTGAATGATCATAAAGCTATTTTATCTGGTGTGCTGGCAGGAAAGAATAGGTACAGTAGATAATGCTATTGGATTGGTGGTGCGATCCCTTGCGCGCAAGCCTGAAGAAAGCACATTGGCTTTGCAACTGCTTTTGGAGCTATCGAGAAGTAGTATAGTTCGAGACTTGATGGGCAGTGTCCAGGGTTGCATCCTTCTACTTGTTACTTTCATGAATAGTGATGACTCTGTAGTTGCAAACCATGCAAGTGAGATTTTAAAGAATCTCTCTTTCCTTGATCAGAATGTTATTGAAATGGCAAGATTAAATTACGGTGAACCCTTGTTACAACACCTATGTTCAGGTATTTGCTTAACACTGTCATACTTTACAGTTGAAACTTATGATATTGTTTTGAGTGATATTTTTCAAGACCCCAAGGTTACTGCATAATTCAGGCTATAATCATTCTTTTTTGTGCTTTTGGATGATGCTTCTTTTGATCCAAGACTGAACATTATTTGAGAATCTGTGATATTTTAGCTTCTAATTAAACTATAAAGAATAAACTTTTGTTAAGCTTAAGCATAGCGGAACTGTTCTGGAGATCTTTGGATGTCTGCTATTCATTGCAACCACAAGGCATCTAACCGGTCTAGATGAGTAAGCGTATCCATTTTGGAAATTAAGCCAACACAAAGAACTAATTCAAGAATACATCTAATAAGGTATGAACCAATAAGTTAAATAGGACGGCATGTGGCACAAACCAAGAATGATATCCTGATGTCAGGTAGACACATAAAGAGACAGATGGCTTATGGTGAATTTGCAAAGGCAGATTTTATGTTGATGTAATCATTTGTTGTTTGAATTCGAAACTACTTCCAGAAGCCGTAATTTAAAGGTCTACCTCATTGTACAGGAACTGAAAGTAAGCGTATGTCCATGGCCAAAACCTTGTCAGAGATCGAGTTGAGCGACCAGATTAAGCTGTGCCTCATAGAAAAAGGGGCACTGAAGCCACTTCTTGAACTTCTCTCTCATAGCAATACAGAGATGAAAAGTATTGCTGTCAAAGCACTTCAAAGCCTTTCAACTGTCACACAAAATGGTCAGCTGATGGTTAAGGAAGGTGTCAGTGACCTGCTGTTTGAACTACTATTTTGTCACACCTTGTCAAATGAAATACGGGAACATGTTGCAGCAACAATTATGCAACTTGCCATGTCAACAAATTCGCAAAGATCAGAGGATGTTCAGGTTTCACTGTTGGAGTCTCTTGACGATATTTTTAAACTCTTTTCTCTTGTATCGTTGACTGGATCTAACGTGCAACAAAGCATTCTTCGTATCTTTCAAGCAATGTGCCAATCTCCTGCTGGTTCTGATATCCGGACTAAACTGAGACAGGTATGTAGATTCTAATAAATTATCTTCAATATGTTTGCACAAGCTAGCAGAATCGGATATAATTTTTCACACTTACTATAGCTAGTCATTCCCCGAGTCATAAACTAGTGGGAAAACACAATTCCCTCTAAAGATATCTACCTTACTCAAAATGTAAACTGATGATCCTCATTAGGAAAGATATATATTCAGGTTGTGTTATAAGGGAAGAAAATTTGCAATTAACGGACTACCAAAAGCTAAAACATTATATAGCTGTTGTTAGCATTTTGGCCCTGATGCTTTAGTTTCCCTAAGATTTTGTTGACTCACTTGCTAGTAGGTAAAGAAAATCTCCTTTTTGTATCAATTTCCTGATATGATTTCATGATTGCTCTCCATTTCATCTCCTGTACAATCAGCTAATTACACCTCACACTAGTGTCAGATCTTGAAGTTCATGTAGATAAACACAATTTGATTTCTGACTTCAGCTGTCATTTCAATAATTGTTTCATTGTCAGATTTCCGCAATTAAGGTACTAGTCTACCTATGTGAACTTGATGACCGTAAGGTACGAGCTGATGCAGTGAAACTCTTCTATTTATTGGCAAAAGATGGCAATGATGATACTCTCTTAGAGCATGTAAATAGTACCTGCATTGGGAACTTGGTGCAGATCATCAGAACTTCGGATAATGAAGAAGAGACTGCTGCTGCGTTGGGAATAATCTCCTACCTTCCTCAAGATTGTTCAATGTCTCAGCACCTTCTTGATGCTGGGGCGCTTGATGTCATCTTAGACTGTTTACGCGGTAGAAATGAACATGCTTTACCAAGAAATGAAGTTGTAGAGAATGCTGCTGGAGCTCTTTGCCATTTTACTCTTCCAACAAATCCAGAAACACAAAAACAAGTTGCTGAAGCTGGTTTTATTACTCTTCTGGTATCCCTACTAGGGTCTGGCAGTTCCTTGACTAAAAAGAATGCAGCCACTTGTTTAAAGCAGTTATCAGAAAGCTCGTGTATTCTGAGCAAGCCGGCTAGAAAAAATTGGATGTTAAGCTGTTGTATTGCATCACCGACACATGGCTGTCCTGTGCACTTAGGAATTTGCAGTGTTGAATCCACATTTTGCCTTGTAGAGGCTAATGCTCTCAGACCCCTTGCGGAAGTGCTAGACGAACCAGATCCTGCAGCTTCTGAAGCTTCTTTAGATGCAATCTTGACTATAATTGAAGGTGCACAACTTCAGAATGGTTCTAAGCTACTTGCAGAAGCTAATGCCATTGCTCCAATCATAAAATTGTTGAGCTCATCCTCTATCGTTTTACAAGAAAAAGCTCTCAAGGCCTTGGAGAGGATATTTCGAATGATAGAAATGAAGCAAAAGTATGGGATATCAGCGCAGATGCCACTTGTGGAAATCACTCAGAAAGGAAGAAATGACATGAAATCTTTGGCTGCAAAAGTTCTAGCTCACTTAAATGTACTTCCTGAACAGTCTTCCTTTTTCTAATGCACGCTCAAATATTCGAAAAGCAGTATACTCATGAGATGAGTAGATCATCTAGACTGAACTATAGCACACTCATGCCATTTGTTTTTCTGTTTTACTTTTTGGAACTGTTTAGTGCTCACATATTTTAGAGTGGGGTCTGTCAGATATGAATTCTAGCTTTGCCTTTGTAATATTTAAGTTTGCCGCTAGGCCTGTTGGCGTGATGTTGTAATAGCAGATCTGGAGATCAAGGGGTGAAATTTTCGTTATCTGCGACAGTTCTACTTAGTTCTTTGATAAATAGTAGTACTAGATGATACTCTTTTCCTTTTCAAATAAGAACTTCGTTGATGAGCTAAACAGGTTTTGGCACCCGCACACCAATATAAGCAAATACACTATATAAACTGCTAGTAAAAGACAGTCAGGAACGCAAACTCCGAAAACAAGATCGGGCATAAAACCAAATGAATGAACAACTAATGTCTACTCCTGACAGCTAGCTGTTATGTCTTATATAAAGATAAAGAAGATGGATTTGTGTCTGTGGCTGTCATTCCTTATCCTCTGTGAGTTTGAATCACATCTGATTGAAATGTTAGAGAAATACTATCAAAAGACTAGATGTACATCACAAGGAACTCTGGCTTAACAAGAGTCCAACTCCTCATCACCTGCAAACTGTTAAGAAAAGGGAACATGATTCTGGATCAACATTTGAGAGAATTTATATTGAATCATGCCATTGAATGGGGCAATACATCGAGTCTCATGTAAGACAACTAACTGCACCTCGAGAATCGAGATGCTGCTGAGGAACTGTGGGACGTTATTAGGCACAGGATAGCTAATGCAGACATATAGCTATCCTATTCTTTTGGAAAAAATGAGCAAATTCAAGCAACTAAACAATGCCATATATGTAACATTAAACACCATGAAAGAATTGTCAATTGCTTGAGTATGAAATCATGAGCGCACCACTATGTAGTATTTGCTATTACAGAATCTGGTGTCTGAACCAGTATCCAATGTATGAACCAAATTAATAAGTGCATGACAAAGTATTTTTCTGCATAAACTTTATTACTTAACCATGGTATGTTGATATTTATTGTTAAACTCTTAGTTAATATGTATTCTTACCTCGATTTATCAAAAACATTTCATTCGTAAGCGTAATGTCGAGGATAGAAAAATCATTTTGAGGAGCAGAAATAATTGTAAATGTGAGATATACTTTCACGAGGATTAACTTAGTCATTTTCTGTTCCAATCCAATGATAACAAAATTGATAATCCAATTCCAACGTACCAGCTTTTCCCCAAAAAGTAAGTGTGATTGCTATTTAAGACTTTTAGTTACTCACGTTAAAAAATAAACTTAAACAGACAGCCACTTAAGTTACAGAAACAGGAAGATCATAGCAGATTGAATATTTGTAGGTATAAACATATACTGAAGGGAGCTTCACGTCCAAATGCCAAACAGAAGAAAAAAGTAATACTCCTACACACCGAAAACTGCTGTTTATCATAATATAACCTAAGAACAGTTGGAATCTTAGAGAACTCTTAAATTAATAAGTGCATGTTCTGACCGAGATTATGTACAGGATGTTGAAAAGACTGAAGACTTGATGGTAAAAAAAAATTTTAGAAAATGGCTGGACATCCTTTAGCAGAAATGCCTGGAGCGGTGGGACAAGCAGCCAGCGGACATCCATCTGTATTGTTTCCCCACCAGTCGATATTGATATCTTTGGATTGTATAGCAAGGAATAACAAAATGGCGATAAAAGCAGTTCCGGCATCCAGACCACCAGATAAAACGTAGTTGTAACGTTCCCACAAGTGAGGCCAGCGTCTATAAACAACATAACCAGAGAGGAACGCCAAAATTAGCCAGCTCGTGTAGTTGACAGAGCTTGCTGGAGGCATCATTGCTGTTGCGCCCAATAGGACAGGCATATGTATGTGGGAAATCCACTTTTGCTTAGGGAAAGCTTTGTGTGCCAACCAAACTAGTACAGGGGCAATGGCTCCTCCAAGAAAGAACCAATTGACATTAGGGTAGACACCAAGTGGTCCAAATATTCTCAATGGCGCAATGAGCCCCCATATAACAGACGCATCATAGAATACACGGTCCATTGGACACTGCCACGGGCTGTTGTCTGGCAACACAGAAATGTCACAGAGATTTGGTATCGTGTCCATGAGCCACCAAGCAGTAATGGTGTAGATAATTATCGATATGAATGTGCCCAGCATCTGAAAAACCAAATAGACTTAGCATTCAGAAAATAACCATAGGATTATTATTCTTAACTACATCAAGAACTAATACTAACCTGAGCCATAAACATTGCTCTGGGAGGAATTTTCATGTAGTGACCAAGCTTGAAATCATAGACAAAACTAAGAGCTTGGGACATACTTATGTACCCATACACCTTGAACAACATGTTAGCGACAGGGCGGCCAGGGTATAGATAACCAATAATATATTCTGTGATGACATTAAGACCTGGTTGCTATTTCAACCAAAAGAAAAACAAATAAGGCCAAATTGACAACAACACAACAAATAAAGGAGATTCAGTTTTGGGGACATTGTATTAATTACCTGGTTTGTAGTGGCTGAAATTATTCCTATGGGTAGAGTGAAACCCAGTGCTATAGCAAAAGCTAGCAAGATACCCCACCAAGGCAATTGAAATGTTTCAAGATAATGCTGACAAGTAAAGAAGATTAATACCATATTTGCTACAAGAACAACATGGAACCACCACATAGGGACCTGCTTGTAACTTTTCATTAGCCTTGTGTGCACATCTGGTTTGTGTTTTAACGCTTCTCTGGATCGATTCCACATTTCTCTGCAAAGACAAATTTTTTAGACACCCTTCAAGATTTGAAATCAAGATGACTTAGGATTCTTGAGACATTTCAATAGATAACATTATCATTATAGTAAAATTATAAGGGGGTGTTTGGTTTGTAGTCTATATGCAAAGATAATAAGGTAGATATGCAGAGTTTAATATCTGAAATCAAACAATGTATTTGTTAAATTTCAATCACTTTTAAGGGCTCTAGCATTCAATAATCCAAGAATAGTCAGAGCTGATGCATACCTTCCATGGAAGAGAAAAACGTGGACGAGAGTAGCAGTAAGACCAGCAAATCCAAGACCATATGTCATGGCAAAGAAAGTGCTCAAATGCAACTGACCATATTGATTATAGGCAGCTATATCAAGCTGAAAGTGTGAATTAATGACTCCCTCAGTGTTGTATTTCGTCCCATTTAGCGTGAAGAGGCTGGAAGAAAATATAGGGAAATTCTTGGCGTTGTAAACGTTGAACCAATAAGTGAGTGGAGTCATCAAATACATTACAAGTACAAAACCAGCTGCAACATTTGCAGTGGCAAACCATGGACTTGCTAGAGGACTTCCAAGGTATGAAGAAATCGTCGTCCAATCAAATCCTAAAGCACCAATGCCAAGCCCGCGCATGCCAGAACCCAATTGTTGAACCAAAATAGATTTCGGAGCCAGCCAACAGATCCAAGAAAATGAGGATAACATCTGGAAAAGATAACCAGGAAATATGTAGTATGCAAAGCTGAAAACTAAGGCTATGAGGAAGAACTGTATCCGAGTTGTACCACCCTTTGGTCTAGTCTCCTTTTCATGCAGAGCCCTGCACAATTATACAATGGTATAACTAATGAGTTTAATTTCTTCGTACAATAGTTACTGGTAATAACCTAAACTAAACGGTAAAGTAATTAATATGCTGTTAAATTACACCGATATAAATCCTATGCATATACCTGAATAAGGAGACCTGAACCAAACTGCCTGGCCACCACATCTCTGCTGGCTCAACCAAATGCTTCCGGAAAATACCAGCCCAACCAAAACCTAACATCTGCCATTAATTTGAAGATAACAATAAATAAATAAATAAATAAATAAATAAACAAATAACTAGGAATAGTAGAACGGAAAAGAATAAGAAGTGGGAGAATATAGCTTTAGTCTACTTATTTTAATTAATATAGCTTTAGTCTACTTATTTTAATTAACTCGTAATATATTTTAGACCACCCACAGAATTAACATGCTCAAATACCTAAACAACTAGTAACTATATAGAGAATTATTACTTGTATAGATCAAAAATCCAACAACTGCAAATTTTTAAACAGTACCAATAAAAGACATGTTATCCGAGGCAGATCTAGGATAAAAATTGATCAGTTCAAATCTTTAAAGTTCTTAGCATTAAACAAATGGTACTTTTGAAATATGGGATCAGAATTTAGGGCCCGTTTGGACATAAAAGTTTTTACTTTTTCCAGAATTTTTTTTTACTTTTTTCCGAAAAAAGTGTTTGGTCATGATATTCCAAATCAATCTGAAGTTGAATTCCAGAATTTTTGGAATTTGAAAAACTCCAAAAACCAATTTTTCACTCCAAATCACTCGCAAAAATTCAAAAACAACTCCAAGTTGTATTCATTCCAGACACAATTCCAATTTTCAAGTACCATTTTTAACTTAAAAAAATTCATTTTTTCCTGTAATTTCACAATCTTATGTCCAATCGCCCACTTAGTATTTTGAAATTTGGTGATTTTTATATATATGACAAAAATACTATGGTACCTTTCTCAAAACAAGTAATTCCCAGAAAAAGGTTAGTAAAAAAAGCTACCTGAGTTGTGGCCATGATAAGCAAAGCAGGAAAAAAACTAAGTGGTCTCTTGTAGTAAAGCTTAACAGCACTCAAAATATGAGTAGCATAAACACTTCCAGCACCAGCATTTGCAAAAATCGTAATCAAGACATGCTCTTTTATATTGAATGGCCCTGGATTTAGCGTAAACTCCCAACGCGTACCCTCAAAAAACAACCTCTTCGTTATAGTTTTCGCCATGAGATGACCTATAGGGACAACAGCAATCTGAACAGCCGTCGACGAAATCGTCAACGGCTCAGTTCTGTACCAAAAAAACTGATTTACAAAAGATAGCAAAACGCAAGAAGTGATTCCAAGAAACCACATTCTGAATGTAAGTACAGGAGTAGTAGGATCATCAGTTTTTGGTACAGTCATATCAACTTCTTTTATGGGGCACAGATCTTCGTCAGCCTCATTGGCCGCCGCCATATTCACTGGTAGTTCTGCCATTGAATATGGATTCGGCGCTGACTCTTTTCTCTAAAACCCTTGAACAGAATTAGTGAAGAAAGAGTTGGTATTTATCATTGATGAGTTGTATATTACTAGAAATTTTGTCAAAAAAAATATATAGATAAAGTTTTTTTCCTAGTATAATACGTATTTGGTAAAATAATACGCCTGGTACAGAATCCTAACTGAATATCAAGTAGATAGAAACTGACTATAAATAGGACTTTTAGGAGATTCTGTGGGATTCTCTAAGAAAATCTACGATCTATGCTCTAAGAAAGGTACGTGTCTCAGTAGGGTAAGGTAACTGAAGCAATTCTTTTTTGTTTAGGATTATGAAGATTTTTTTTGTTATTTAAGGTGTAGAATAATCAATTAGAATAATGAATATATCTTTAAAATTATACGTCATCCAGTTATGATTTTGATCTTTTATACTACTGTTAAAAAAATTATAATTCTATTTTAATAGCGTGAAATATTTCAAGCCAAAATAACACTACCATGTCGCTTGATAAAATGTTGCTTTAGTAATTCAAGGTATTAGCCATTCTTCTAAGATTATTCAAATGGGATGTATGCAATAATTATTTCTCATCTTGTCCATTTGTTTTTCTTTACTCGATAGTTTACATTCTTTTATAACCTGCCTTTCGTTTCTTTTTTTCCTTTTTCCTTCGAATTATCGCCGTGTATTGGCATTACATCACAACGACCAAGCTATAGATTTTGGTTCGCAATCCCTTTGACCGAACAGATTAACCCTGTGATTAGATTAAAGGGTCGTTTGGCAGGAGGTATTAGAAAAAATAATGTAAGCATTAGCTCTATGCATTACTAATACATTATTTGGTACATTTTTTCAACTTATGTATAACTAATATTTGTATTAGTTATACATCATACTTGGTATTATCCTATGTATAAGTAATGCATAGAAAACCATGACATTAGTAATATCAAGGCTATTAATGCATGCATTAGTATGGCTAAAGACAAAATTATCCTTAAAGTCCCTTAAAGCTAGAGAATATGGAGGCATATTTGTAAACAACTATTTTTCTTAAAAATTATATAATGCATTATAATTTCAATACACCACACCAAACAATAGATAAAAAATAATATCTACATAACTAATGCTTGCATTACTAACACATGCATTATTAATCCATGCATTACTAATACACCTTATTCTGCACTATTCTTATACACCCTACCAAACGACCCCTAAGTTTCAGTAACTTTTCATTCACTATGTATAGGATAAAATCGGTTCATATTAAATGCTCATATAATCAAGCGATACGTGAAATCAGAGACAGATAAAAAGCGAGACAGGTGGAAGTCAAGACCGAAGACAACAATCTTGGTTGCCACCGGGAAGCTCCCGAAGGGAATGTTGCTCATGAAGACAAATGAATGCCTATCACCCGATAGCATTCAATGAAGAATATTCTGCAGTATTAAATTCATAGTTCATTATACAGAATATGGCACTCACAGCATACCGTTACACATTCTTCAATGGCCTCCATAATTGTCATTTAAGAGGGACTTGATCCTAGGACCTTGTTCCCTAGATGCCACTATAAATAGGGATTTTAACAACCATTGTAGGGACACGAATTTTCTAACAAACTTATGTTATACACATTATTCTAAGCTCAATAACATTTTATTTCTCGCTTATTGTTATTATTATTGTCTTCGGAAGCTCTGCTCCCGGAACCAAGCTATCTGCTATCTCATCTCGATTTCAACGCTAAGTCTTGTATTTTATTTAATTTATTTATCAATTTGGGGTCAAATCAATTCGCTTATCTATAACTACGTATAAATTCAACTGTACCGTTTTATGGGTAAATAGTTTGTCGCCTACCGAGGGGCTTAGATAGTTGCATAATTGGGTTGCTTCTTGCATTTATTACTGACTTGTTTAAATAATTTGTCTCTTAGCAAAAAATTATAAAAAATAGTAGATAACGGTGTCAACAACATGCACAACATTGAGGCCTAAGGAAATCAGCCTCAATACGAAGATTCAATCAGTGATACCCGCAACGCGGAGGGCGTAGCCACGCCGGTCCATGGTGGACAGTATCCACAGCACGTTCGATAGGTAACTCCTAATGATATTGAAGACGAGCACGTTGTGGAAGCATTGAAAATCTTAAGAGAGCAACAAAGGGCTATTATGGGCCATCTCTCATAGCTTCCATCAACGCGATGGAAGAGGTTCAGTTCCTCTCGGTGCTCTGGCAAACTAAACAGCACAAAGTTGTACCATTACCTATTGAATGCGCACTTCTTTTCTTCCTTTTTTCTAGACTTAATAATGACTGATTAGGACTATTTATCGAAATCTTTCGTAGTGTCCTCAAAAGAGAACAACCCTTGAAAATCAATTGCTCGTTTGATAATAGAAAATTGAAAATCAATTGTTTCCACTAAAAGAATATAATTAACCTGTCTTTCATGCTAATTTTTTAAATGACCCTAAGCTACATGTGTTTTTAGCACTTTTATTAACTTCTCTCCAAACGACTTCCCTACTAAAAAGCTACATGTGTTTTTAATAAGCTAATAAATCAAGTACAGTATCAAATGCGACCTAGGATTCATCATCCTTCATCTCTAACTTCATGCAATCAATGAACGATTTTCCATCAAGTTTTCGTGCAAAATATTCCTGCAAAAAAATTTCAACACGAACACTTCGGAATTTTGCAGGATTATGTGGTCCAATGAGGCTGTGTGCAGGACCTAACTTAGAGTCGAGGTTAAAGATATTGAATGTTGCAAGAGATAGCCTCTTTTTGTTTGAGTTTACAACTGCTCTGTACTCAATGCTCTTATAAACACCATTGCTTACTATCTGCCAAATCAATTTACACATTTACTTGAATTAAACACTTTCAAGAAAATTTAGAAGTTTGAATATCTTAAGTAAGACTTAACATATAACAAGGAATTAAAACCTTAATTACCTCCATCATATCGCCAACATTGACAATCAAAGCATTTGGGAGGTGTTTAATAGGATCCCAAATAGGTAACTCCATGGTGGACAGTATCCACAGCACGTTCGATAGGTAACTCCTGATGATGTTGAAGATGAGAACGTTGTGGAAGCAGTGAAAATCTTAAGAGACCAACAAAGGGCTATTATGGGCCATCTCTCATAGCTTCCATCAACGCGATGGAAGAAGTTCAGTTCCTCTCGGTGCTCTGGCAAACTAAACAGCACAAAGTTGTACCATTACCTATTGAATGCGCACTTCTTTTCTTCCTTTTTTCTAGACTTAATAATGACTGATTAGGACTATTTATCGAAATCTTTCGTAGTGTCCTCAAAAGAGAACAACCCTTGAAAATCAATTGCCCGTTTGATAATAGAAAATTGAAAATCAATTGTTTCTACTAAAAGAATATAATTAACCTGTCTTTCATGCTAATTTTTTAAATGACCCTAAGCTACATGTGTTTTTAGTACTTTTATTAACTCCTCTCCAAACGACTTCCCTACTAAAAAGCTACATTTCTTTTTAATAAGCTAATAAATCAAGTACAATATCAAATGCGACCTAGGATTCATCATCCTTTGTCTCTAACTTCATCCAATCAATGAACGATTTTCCATCAAGTTTTCGTGCAAAATATTCCTGCAAAAATTTTTCAACACGAACACTTCGGAATTTTGCAGGATTATGTGGTCCAATGAGGCTGTGTGCAGGACCTAACTCAGAGTCGAGGTTAAAGATATTGAATGTTGCAAGAGATAGCCTCTTTTTATTTGAGTTTACAACTGCTCTGTGCTCAATGCTCTTATAAACACCATTGCTCACTATCTGCCAAATCAATTTACACATTTACTTTAATTAAACACTTTCAAGAAAATTTAGAAGTTTGAATATCTCAAGTAAGACTTAACATATAACAAGGAATTAAAACCTTAATTACCTCCATCATATCGCCAACATTGACAATCAAAGCATTTGGGATGTGTTTAATATGATCCCAAATAGGTAACTCCGTGGTGGACAGTATCCACAGCACGTTCGATAGGTAACTCCTGATGATGTTGAAGACGAGCATGTTGTGGAAGCAGTGAAAATCTTAAGAGACCAACAAAGGGATATTATGGGCCATCTCTCATAGCTTCCATCATCGCGAATGGAAGAGGTCCAGTTCCTCCCGGTGCTCCCGCAAACTAAACAACACAAAGGGTTGATAACAACACCCCAAGAGGTGAGGTCGGCTTCGACAGGGCCGGGGGTAACGACATTGGAATCGGTAATAACAATGAGAATGATCCCTTTAAAATCGAACTCATGTAGTTTATGAGAGAAATAAATGCCCGAATGGATCAAATCTCAGGCGCACCGCCAGTGTTGAAAGGAACGGACTTAAAAAAGTACACCCAGTTGTCGTTCAAACCAAGCACGATACCAGAATTGATCTCGAAGCGGTTCAAAATGCTAGATGTGCCGAAATATGATGGGACTTCGGATCCTCAGGAGCACATGATTTTCGTAGGGAACGAGATTAATGGTGTAACTTTTTCGGCAGAAAAAAAAGACAAAGATATCGGTGACCCATAGTAAAAGATTCCAAGAAGTCGCCGAGGATGACATCACTTTCACAGAGGAAGACGCAAATGGACTCTTACTACCGCACAACGATACCTGGTAATCTCTCTTAATGTTTTAGATTTTAAAATTAAACATATTTTGGTGGACCCAGGAAGTTCAGCCAATATTATCCAATGGAGAGTGATAGAACAAGCCAACCTGACCGGAAGTATCATTTCGGCCACAAAGCTCCTCGCCGAGTTTTATTTAGCAAGTGTAAAAACCTGAGGAAGATTCTACTGCCTACGAATGTCGAAAGGGTAATGAAGACGACCCTCTTTGAAGTAGTAGACGGTGATATGGGCTACTATATTATTCTTGGGAGACCATGGCTACATGAGATGAAGGTTGTGCCATCAACATACCATCAACTTCTAAAATTCCCAACTCTGGAGTGAATTAAACAAATAAAAGGAGATCAACCAGTAGCAAGGGAGATAAACGCGATCTCAGTTTTCAATAGCAAAGGGAGGAGCATGCGGCATAGCAATTACAGGAACCGATGCCCGCTCTCGAGCCAAACGAAGGCAACAAGGGGGAGCAATTGTCGGGAATGTTGGCACCGGGAAGCCCCCGAAGGGAATGTTGCTCATGAAGACAAATGAATATCTGTCACCAGATAGCATTTAATGAAGAATATTGTGCAGTATTAAATATATAATCTATTATAGAGAATATGGCATTCATAGTCTGCCATACACATTCTTCAATAGCCCCCATAATCGTCATTTAAGAGGGGCTTGATCCTAGGACCCTGTTCCCTAGATGCCACTATAAATAGGGATTTCAACAACCATTATAGGACACGAATTTTCTTATAAACTTATTCAATACACATTATTCTAAGCTCAATAACATTTTATTTCTCACTTATTGTAATTATTATTGTCTTCGGAAGCTCTGCTCCCGGAACCAAGCTATCTGCTATCTCATCTTGATTTCAACGATAAGTCTTGCATTTTATTTAATTTATTTATCATCTTGGGATCAAATTGATTCGATTATCTATAAACCACATATAAACTCAATTATACCGTTTTACGGGTAAATAGTTTGTCGCCCATCGAGGGGCTTAGACAGTTGCGTAATTGGGTTGATCCTTGCATTTATTTGTAACAACCCAACCCGTTAGTGATATTGTCCGCTCTGGGGCTAGGCCCTCACTGATTTAAGATATGTCACTAGGGCATAAGGCTTATTTACTTATATACCCAACATCCCTCTTGTTGCCGATGTGGGACTCTATCTTATGTCTAGAGTGTTACATATCTCCCCCTTTAGGGACTCATCATCCTCGCAGAGATTTGTCCTATCGCATGGGATTCGCCTAGACTCAGCATAAAGATTTGCCCCGCCTAACCGGGATTTGCCTAAACTCAATTGAACTCTGATCCACTATCGGCATAGCTGACATAAGAGTGGCTCTAATACCATCTGTAACAGCGCAGTCCACTAGTGATATTGTTCGCTCTAGGCCTAGACTCTCACGGGTTTAAAATGCGTTACTAGGGTCTAAAGCTTGTTTACTTATATACCCAACATCCCTCTTGTGTTTTCCGATGTGGGACTCTATCTAAAGTCTAGGGGTATTACATTATTACTAACCTATTTAAATTCTTTGTCTCTTAGAGAAAAATCATAAAAATGATAGATAAATCAACAACACGGACAACGTTGAGGCTCAAGGAAATCAGCCTCAACACGAAGATTCAATCAGCGGTACCGCAACGAGGAGGGTATAGCCACGCCGGTCCATGGCGGACAGTATACACAGCACATTCGAGAGGCAACACCTGATGATGTTGAAGACGAGCATGTTATGGAAGTAGTAAAAATCTTAAGAGAGCAACAAAGGGCTATTATGGGTCATCTCTCACGACAAAACCAGGTCATGATAGAGTTGAAACAAACGTTGTCGAACGCTTCAAACAACGCGAATGGAAGAGGTCTAGTTCCTTCCAATGCTCCCGCAAATCAAACAGCACAAAGGGTTGATAACAACACCCTGAGAGGTGAGGTCGGCTTCGATAGTGCAGGGGTAATGGCATCAGACTCGATAAACAATGGGAATGATCCCTTTAAAATCGAACTCATGCGGTTTAATAGGGAAATAAATGCCCGAACGGATAAATCCCGGGCACGATGCCGGTGTTGAAAGGAACGGACTTAAAGAAGTACACCCAATTGTCGCTCAAACCAAGCGTGACACAAGAATTGATCCCTAAGTGGTTCAAAATGCCAGATGTGCCGAAATATGATGGGACTTCGGATCCTCAGGAGCATATCACTACCTATACAAAGGCGGTGAAAGGAAATGACCTGGCTCACGATATTGAATCAATCTTGTTGAAGATGTTTGGGGAGACTCTCACAAAAAGGGTCGTGACATGGTATTCACTTCTGCCCGAGCACTCAATAGATTCCTTCGAGATTCTCGCGAATTCTTTTATCAAGGCCTATGTCAGGGCCAAGAAGAACATGCTCGAAAGGCCAACATATTAAAAATTATACAAGGAGAGTCCGAATTACTGCGGGAGTTCGTGACCAGATTTTAGAAGGAGAGGATGTTGCTGTCGGACGAATGGGCAGCGGAGGCATTTACCAAGGGATATGGGCTTCCTAGAAATTAAAAGAAAGTCTGCTCGAGTTCTAGGCAATAACATGGGTAGATATTCACAACCATTATGAGTCGAAGATAAGAATTAAGGATAACCAGCTCAGTTTCCCAGCATCAACCAACCAAGGGTCGGAACCGAGAGAAGTATAAGGAAAAGTTGAAGGATGATTTCGACGCAGACCGACGGTCTTCTAAAGGTTGGGTTTTGCCCTACAAGAGGTCCGAAGGACATGGTAGAGGTTTCTGGTTGGCGGATAGATTCGCTACAGATAGAAGAGCTGATCGTGGTCGAAATAACAGGTTGTTGCAAGATAAAGAGGTATCGAGCCCCCTGAACTCTACCTACCCAAGCTGTCCGAATACAATTTCAATGTCAGCATAGTGTAACTGGTTTCGGCAATGAGAAACATTAAAGAAACTCAATTCACATGGTCGATGAGATCTGATCCCAGTCAGAGGGATCCCAATCTATGGTATGAGTATCAAGGGGCTAATGGCCATCGGACAGGGGACTGCCGTCATTTGCGCGAGGAGGTGGCGATATTACTAAAAACGGCCATCTCAGAGAATTATTACACGACCGTGCTAAGAATAACTATGGCCGCAACCGGGATAACGCGAAAGCCTGAAAAATAGGAGAAGATCCCTCTCGCCTAACAATCAACATGGTTTTTGTAGGGAATGAGATTAATGGTGTAACATTTTTGGCAGCAAAAAAGACAAAGGTATCGGTGACCTATAGCAAAAGACTCCGGGAAGTCACCGAGGACGACATCACTTTCACCGAGGAAGACGCAGATAGACTCTTATACCACACAACGATGACCTGTTAGTCTCTCTTAATATTTTAGATTTTAAAATTAAATATGTTTTGGTGGACCCAGGAAGTTCAGCCATCATTATCCAATGGAGAGTGTTGGAACAAGCCAAGCTGACCGAAAGTATCATTCCTGCCACAAAGCTTCTCGTCGGGTTCAATTTAGCAAGCGTAACAACCCGATGAAGATTCTACTACCTACGAATACTGAAGGGGTAATGAAGACAACCCTCTTTGAAGTAGTAGACAACGATATGGGATACAATATAATTCTTAGGAGACCATGGCTATATGAGATGAAGGTTGTGCTATCAACATACCATCAACTTCTGAAATTTCTAACTCTGGAGGGAATTAAACAAATAAGAGGAGACCAACCGATAGCAAGGGAGATGAACGTGATCTCAGTTTTCAGTAGCAAAGGGAAGGAGCATGCGGCATAGAAATTACAGGAACTGACGCCCGCTCCCAAGCCGAACGAAGGCAACAATGGGGAGGAGTCGTCGGACTCTTATCAGGTACCAAGATATTTCCAAGTACCGGAAGAAACGGGCGCAACCAAATCCACAGCAAAAGAACTATAGCAGGTCGCATTGTTTGATAAATTCCTGGGGAGGAAGTTCCACTTGGGGACAAGATTAAACCTCGAGCTTAGGTCAGGATTCAGAATATTTCTTAAAGTTTAACATTGACTATTTTGTGTGGTTGCAAGAGAATATGATAGGTATCCCTCTAGAGGTGTCCATGCATAAAGTAAGCCTAGATCCTAGAATCCCTCTAGTAAGGCAAAAAAATGCCTTATTGCCGAGGTCAGAAATAAATTTGCCAAAGAATAGATAACTCTATTGCTTGATATCGGTTCAATCCGGGAGGTAAAGTACCCTGACTGGCTAGCTAATATAGTGGTAGTTCCAAAAAAGAATAATGAGTTTTGCATGTGCGTAGATTATAAGGATCTGAATAAGGCATGCCCAAAAGACTCGTTCGCATTGCCAAACATTGATCAAATGATTGATTCGACGGCCGACAC